GAGTGGCTCGTGTCGTCTTTCTTCCATGATGAGCCAAACTGGTCTAGTTTCTGACAGCTGTCATTTGTCTCTTCTGCAAGAGAAACGTATAGCATCCTCTCGGTGTTTGTAACTGAGCATATATATTTACCTTAACTGACCCTATCTGAATTGTCTCCATTTTGTTGCTCTGTGTAGTGACTAAGATTTATCCCATAGTAACAGTACTTCCATGTGATGTATCTTGGGGTAAGGCTGCCGGACGCTCCCAATGAGAATACTTGTACTCTCACTGTGTCTGAGATGATTGTCAGCTGTACAAGGCCCTTTCCTCTCTTGGGAAGGCAAGCACAGGCACACCATTGGCTTCTTACTTGCTGCCTGAGGGTCTTGGTGGAATCCCACATCACAGAACAGCAAGTCCTCACCAATTATTTTTTTAAGAACTATTTCATTTAACTTTATTTATTTATTCATTTATTTTAACTTGACCAGAGAGGAAGAGAGGGAGGTAGGGAGGGAGGGAGGGAGAGAGAGAGAGAAAGGAGGAAAGCGAGAAAGCAAGCTGCCAGGTCCAGGGCTCAAACTGCAGTAGGCCCTGTGGGAGTCCAGCTCCCTAACCACCATGCCACCTGCCAGCCCTCTCACTAATCATTTCTACGGGTCATATGAGTTGTGAAATTATAACAAGGTAGGGAGAGTGTTCTTGCCACATTGGGGAAGGAGTATCTCTCTAGAAGAGGTGGTTAAGATACCTCTGGGGCTGGGGGTGTGTCTAGAAGAGAAATAACTCTGCTAAAAGCAAGATATTGTTGGTTTTGCTGGATTACTCTATGGTTATAACTGTGCAAAAGAAATTTTATGTATATATGCAGTGAATATATTATACATATAAGAGGGGGCTTTGAAAAGTTGGTGAAAAAAATGGAATTAAAGCATAAATTTATTTTGGAACACAAAGTTTTGAAATGCATACATAGTTTTTTCATAATGCACATTTTCCAAGAATTTTTGAAGCCCCCTCATATGTATATATATATATGCAAATACATACACATGCACACATGCGCGCACCTTCATATTTCTTTTCTGAATTTGGCAAGGGCAGGATTTGCAGATTATAATCTAGATCCTACCTACTCTGTGCCCTTCACTCATCCCATTGTTCTACTTTTCTTGGAGGATAACCTGGGTTCACCTCCCATCTGCCCTTTCTTTTCTCTTTCTTGCTTGGATATATTTGTGAAAAACTCACAGAGCAACTGGATTGCCAGGTCTGGTCCATCTTCCTGTCCAATAAAAGGAAAGTAACATTTAAAAAGCCAGTCACAAATGTCTGTTTAATAATTCTTGATTGCTGCCCTGAGACTGGATTTTAATATTTCTGAATATTCTGTGCCTGCAAGCTAGCACAAAATGGTATCAAAAAGTGCCAGAAATTTGCTTCCCGCAGTTCTGAATGTGCAAACGGGTACGTGACGCTGGGGCAGCCTCATTTCTTTTTGAGCGGGATCATATCGGTGGGCCTCTCGGTCATGCCTACTGACATTAAGTAACTGCTTGCTGCCCTTGAGCTATCTCAGGACTTGGGAGAAGTAATCTAAAAGCAAATACTTTCTAGTGGAATATTAAGCATTCTGCTTAATAATATAAAAGGCTGTCCCAAGGTATTCGAAGAGGAACATTCCTACAGATTTTTTTTTTTTCTTTAATGATGTGTTTAGCATTTCCCCTGGCAGGCCTGGACACAGAGTGTGAGTGTGGTGAGTAGGGTCTGAGGCTGAGGAGCTGAGTGATGAGAGAAAGGGTTTATGCTGGATGATGGGCTTTGAAGGTGTCCCCTCTGCACAGACTAGTGTTTGGGACTCATTTCCAGGGGGAAAAAAAAATCTGCCATTGAGACATTAGTTTACAAATACCCTTGGGCACTCTCTGTGTGGTGCTCAGACTACTTGTTCAAAATTTCCATTCAAGCTTTGCAGAAACTGAGGGGCAATATCTTTTCCATCTTGAAGCAGTCCCTGGGCTTTGCCTTCCTCACCATAGACTTGTGGACAGCCTTCCATCTGGTCAGATCCAGCTTCCCAGAGGAAATCCAGAAAGCAATTGTATTAGAAGTCCACGTTACAAGTGACAGGAGTCCCAACGCATACTAGCTATTTTAAAAGAGGCTTCTCTGTCCCCTCAGTCCCTCTTATATGGGTGTGCTTCTTATTCTTTTATGGTAGGTACAAGCTGACTTGACTTCATCATCTCCTAGATCCTTGACTCCAAAGAGGACAAGTAGAAAATTTCATGGAGGAATTTTGATTAGCTTAGCCTCAATCACATGGTCTTTTCTGGCCCAATCACTGTGAGAAAAAAGAGGTATGTGATGGGTCTGATTTGGGACACGTGCTCACTTCTATAGCCAGAGAGGCGAATTACTGTAGCATTTGGGTCCTTATGATTTCAGTGTGCACTCGCTTCTTCTTCATTGCCAACTCTTCTCTGAGTAAGGGTGTCTCTGGCCACCAGAGCTTGCTCTGTGCATGGACATGGCAGGCTGCAAGTGTTCAGGAATTAATGTCTACCAGAAGCAGCCCTCAGCTAATGACCGATGGGAATAGTATAGACAGAGTCTTCAAAAAGTTCATGGAGGGGGAACCAGCAGTTAGCGTAATGGCTATGTCGCTGGACTCCCACGTAGTTGACCGCGGTTCGCGTCCCGGACCCGGTGGCTTAAAACTCACGCCGGGCGCGTGTGCGTGCGTGCCCAAGATCCCGAGAGGAGAATGGAGGAGAAGGGATTGCGGCGTGACCATCCCCCCTGGGGGGTGATTTCTCGCTTTCTGTCTCTATGTCTCTCTCTGTCTGTCTGGCGAGCGCACGCGCCCTACAGTGAAAATCTCTCTTTTCCCACTTGGGTGTGCTAATTTCTAAAGCCAAATATATTCCATATATTTCCTGGGTTGAGTTACTGAGAAGCAATGTCTGAGATGGAGGTTTAGGTGCATGTGACTTTGAGGGAGTGGTCTTTAGTAAAAGACACAAACACACACATGTACACACACACACACGCACACCTCCAAAGTTGTGAGGGAAGCATAATGGGAAAGAAGGGAGCCACACAAGTACTGGGCCTAGAGAAGTCTAGATCAGGGATTGTCAAACTATGGCCCTTGGGCCAAAATTGCTACCTTTGTAAGTAGAGTTTTATTGGAACACAACCATGCCCATCCTTTATACAATGAATAGGGTTGCTTTTATGCCACAGTGACAGAGGTGAGTAATTGAAATAGAGACCACCTGGCCTGCAAGGTATAAGATACTTACTATATCTTTATAGACAAAATCATGCCAATTCCTGCTCTAAACTTGTCTCTGTCTATGGTGAGCTCTGGAGCATCCATTGCTCCATAAATTAATCCCAACCTTGAGGCAAGGGGCTGCTTTTTGTTCCTACATGTCAACTGGACATGGGTTGCCAATCACTCCAGGTGGTGAGGTTGAGGTTCATATGAAACACATTAAGCCTAGGTGGTGGCTATTGTCAGCCAAGAGCAATTCGCTTCTTACCAGCAGCAGCTGTGAGCTGTTAGTAGCCAACACTTACAGGGAAATGGGTGCACTTGTTGGGGAGGGGATCTTTTTAAGCCCATCCATGCAATGTGTAGCTGGATAAGCCATGTTCTTCATGAAGCTGAAGAGAACCCCTATTTCCTGCCATCGTTTTCTCTGGACTCCTCATTTCCTATTTTGCTCTTGCCTCCTCTCTATCCATCTCATCGTCTCAGGATGAAAATGGTAAGAAGGTCTACTGCATCCTGTCAGCTTCTCCAGCCCCTTCTCCTGCTACTTTCTATTCTGGAGCCATGCATGCCCTAGGTCATGGCATCCTTGTAAAGCTCCTAAGCATGCCAGCTTCCTTCTGACTTCCAGGGCTTTGCCCATGCTATTTTCTCTGCTGGGACGCCATTCATTGTGCCTTCACCATACCTAACTAACATCTGTTCCTCCTCCTGATAGCTCAAAGACTATTTCTTCAGAGAAACCTTCCTGAATCTCTATCTCCATGAATCATCTACCCCCTAAGCAGCCAATACTCATTTTGTATATCTTTGCATATATTTTCTGTCTCGTACAAACCATACTATACATAAATATGCATAGGCTTCCTTTCCTTTAAGAAAAATTCTGTATTACTTGTATTACTTTGAAGCTTCTGTCCCTCCTTGATAATATAAATCATAAGAAACCATCCAGTTTGACATGTATAGAGGTAACTCACTTTTAATTCCATTTTTTTTCTGATAGACAGCTGTATGATAGTCCATCACGTGAATATACAGTAATTCATTTAAGAATTTTAATATTATAGGAGGTCCGACTGTTTCTGTGTGTGTTCATTTTACAAGCAATGGTGCAAAAGTGATCTCTGAACAAATATCTACATTCTGATGCTTATACTTTCATTAGTTTAGTACTTAAAAGTGGTATTATTTGGTCTACATATATGTATATATTTGTCCTTTAAATTTCATTATTCAATGTCAGATTCCTTTCTACAAATATAACAAGTTGCACATCGTCGGCAGCTTAGGAGGGCTCCCAGTTTTCTGCATCTTTGCCAGTCCTAGTGCCTTTTAATGTTTGTCAATCTCTTGGGAAAGGAATAACTCCTCCTTGTTCTTCTGATTTACATTTCCTCAACCATGACTGAAGTTGATTATCCTTTTGTACAAATGTTCTTTAGATACCAAAAGATTACCCCTAGGACCTTATCATTGTGGGAGGAGGGGGATGTTCTGAGCACATCTTTTGTTCTTCGAGGTGATATTGGAGCATATCTACCTTTCCTCAATTGTTCTCCAGTGATGATTATGGTGTTGGCTATTTCCCATGTATCTGTAGATTCTCTGCCTTTCTGCCGCTTACATCCCCCTCGCATGGAGAGTTTGGGTTTGAGATATGATGATGGTGGGAGGCTGCAGAAGGTCCTTCCCTGTCTGTGACCATCTCCTCTGTCTCTTTACTTCCAGATACCACCCAGATGAACAATGCAGTGCCCACCTCCCCTCTGCTCCAACAGATGGGCCATCCACACTCGTACCCCAACCTGGGCCAGATCTCCAACCCCTATGAGCAGCAGCCACCAGGCAAGGAGCTCAACAAGTATGCCTCCTTAAAGGCAGTCGGTAAGGACTACTGATTGAGTCTGTTTCTTCTCTACTTTTTTGCTCCACTTTTTCCTACTCCTTTCTTTCTTTCTCTCTTTCACTCTATTTCTTCTCTTTCTGTTTCTCTCTGCCTCTATCTCTGTTTTTCTCTGTTCCCTTTCCTTTGTGTTTCTCTTTCTCTCAGTCTCTCTGTCCACTTTCTGTATATCTCTCCTTATCTATCTGTCTGTCTTCTGGGTTTCTCTACCTGGACCCAGGTTACTCTGCTACTTCTAAGCCTTTTCTTGCTGTGTGGGGAAGAGAGTTGGGTGAAGGGCACATGTGAGATGAGGGCTGTTTCCTGGGGAGGACCTGACTGCACATTTGGTCCCACCAACACATCGACCCCGTCATTGCCCACTATCTGCCCTAGTGAATTTTCAGGTAACCTTGACATAGAAGTCAGGTCTCTGAGTCCCAGGAATG